GACGTTCCTCATAAAACAATTAAAGAACTACAAATAATATCACTGTATACTAGAAAAATATTTTTGGACGGTAAATAACTCTTCAGCAGCTGTTTGAAATCATCCAAAATGGCCGCTAGCCTCCAAGGATATCTTCTCACCTTAAAGAAATATTCTAACTCAAATGAACAATCAGATTATTTTCTTGTGTTTTATAGGGTGGTAAGAATATAGTTTAGTATATAGGTTTTGCTACTGCTTATAACTAGTTAGTTTAGTAGCAAAATAGTGAAATCCTATTTGATAACATATATTGTTGCTGTGATGGGGATTGTATATAAGCACAGAATAACCCTTTATTTTTGTATACTCTTCATTCTGTGGTACAAATGAGATACCCAGTGTATAGCTTTAGATATACGCTTACAAAATAGTTGGATAGTTGGAATAGTAGGTTACGACACATCGTAAAACCAATACTGCTTATCTAGTCCACCAACCTAAAATCTAAATCAACAACTTTGTAAAGATTCAACCATTCCCTTGAGGCGTCGGGTTACACAATAAACCCGCCTATCAAAACAGAGAGAGGGTTTAACAGTAAACATAAAACAGGAGGTGTAATGTTCGGATATGAGGTGGTAAAGTTGTTCATAAGGTCAGTGAGTCCAGTGGAGCGAGACGGTGGTTTACGGACGGTGATCAACCCCAGATGGTGTGGATCAGACTGAATACTCATCACAGAGTCTAAGGTCCGAGGGTCAGACTTTACGAGTCAACCTCGCCTTTATGGAGCAAATTTATATTCTATAATCTTGTTTAGACTTTGAGATTGTGGAGAATACTTGGGAAGCTTAGGACATGCGAGTGTATTGGATGTTGAACCTTAGGTTTGAATGCTCCTTCTTATTCCTACTCATTATACTTATGGCATAGCTTAACAATACATTTGAAAAAGAATTATGTATATATTTTCTGTGTTTTACAATAGAGTGTGTGGTTGAAATCAATACATAAACAGGAATATTATTTAAATTCACATTTCTGTTTAGGAAACAGAATTAAAATTTATATAAAATGTTAAACTAAAATATAGTTAAAAAACTGAGTTTTAAATTTAGTTTGTGTGTTTCAGACTTTTATACTTACTTTAAGTAACTCCTCTAATAGCGAAAAGCGATTTGTACGTACTTTAAGATAAATATAAGTACGAGTTGGATACTCTGCTTAGCTTTGTTACCAGACATATATTTTCAATTCCTTTAGCTGTGAGGTTTCGTTAAAGCACCGCTGGACGTAGCACCTACTGGATGCAGTTTTAACTAAAAAATCTGTCTTATTTTAGAGGACTTAACCGATCACTTTAACCACCAAACTACCCAGCTTTCTCCGAAATTGCTAAAAGATACATAAACATTTTCAAGTCTCTTTTTTTCTTTAACTATTTTTCACATTTTATTTAACCGCTTGACACCTATGGGTGAGAACTATGTCCTAATTTACTGTTATAAAAAATTTCTGTTCAGTAGATTGTTTACGAAAAACGTGTATTGTATAGCTAACTTATTCTTATTATTTACTTAAATTAGCCACGCTCGTTAAAACTACTTATAACGACATGCTTAAGTTCATACAATTTTAATAACGTTTCTACAACATAAATATAAAAGTAGCATTCAAAAAACAAGAAGATAGTTTTCAAAAGAGCTAAATAGCATTGACAATGTAGCTAGCAATACGAGTTTTCATCAGTCTGACACATATCTCTCTCATTAGTTTGTCAACAACTCTTAACCCGAATATGATTTTTATGGGAAAAATCGCAAAGAGTGCAATAACCTTTGAACCATAACTTTTTACAGCAATGGAGATTGGTTTATACCATTTTGTTAAGAGTTAAAAGGGCTATAACATTATAAATTTGAATCACAGTCATATTCAAGCCGTTTTTTTATAAATCAGATTTTCCGTGATTTGATAGCGTTTTATGAGAAATCTACATTAAAAATCATAATTTCAAAAAGGTGCCTGGAGATGCATTGGCTACCTATATACCAAATTTCACAGAGATCGGACCACAGTCTGTAGCTTTCTGTAGCTCTGTACACATCCACACACACAGATGTCACGAAAACCTCTTTTTGGCGTTCAAGGGTATCCAAAAAGTATAATTCCACCAAAAAATTACGTAAACAAACCTTCTCCATTTTATAGAGGGAGAAAGTAAAACAACAGCTTCATATTGTCTGACTAAATTAGCTCAGTAACACAAAACTCAAAATTGATTAAATTCATATTAGCTCAGTTATTGCAACTCCAACATTACTGGAGTTGGGCAGTGCCATCTGATGATGTGGCCATGTATTATTCGTCTGACTGATTTGATACGCATAAACAGTTCGTTTCCCGCCGTGGCGGCAAAGTTTGAGATGGAGGGAGTGACGTTGTGTGTTCTCTTGTTACCAACTGTCCACCAACAAATAACTCGTCACCACAGTCTAATTCTGATTAGCTCAACTTTCATTGTTACCTCAGTGGTCCACCTGGTCAACCACTGTTCATCATTTGAATCTACTTGTCCCAAAGGAAAGGGAGAGGATAAACAGATTTCCTTTAAAAAAATACTTTCATTTTTATTTAGGTAACGGATTCCGGCTGAATGCTGTTTTTTGGACATTAATTTAATATAATACAATGCATTATTTAATACTATGAACTAAACCTCGTTGACATTTTAATTTGAAAATTGGTAGGATTGTTGGATGAATAAACGCTGGAAAACTGTTTTAGTGAATTTAATTGTTGATACGAATAAAAAAGTGACACACTTGTTTTGTGGTATAAAAGTCTTTATTACAATTCTAGTATTGAATTTGAAAACTATACTCATCTATCTTGGTTCCAATTTTGTATGTTTTTTACATAAGATAAATAGGTGCTTATCAACAGTAAGATCTGTGATATAATAGTCAACATCCTATGGCTGTTAACTTAATCTCAGTTCTGTCATAACATCTCTTTTCAGAACGTTTAACATTTTAAAGCCTTAATTCTCTGTTGTGTTGTATCAATCTTTTCTCAAACAGGGGAAACCTATAATTTAGCCCAAACAGGTTTTGAAATTGAAACCATTAATTATTTATCACGCCTTATAATAATACATAAACAGTTCTACAATGATTTGCATTTACTAATTATTGTATAGGCTCAATATCTCAATATGAGTCATATATGAGTCAATATTATTCATATGAGTCAATATCTCTTAAGCTTTTATATGTCAAACACTGCTTCCACAAGGATTAGATTGACACTTTGAGACAGGAAGGGCGTATTCCTGGGACAAATTTTTAACCTTATTAGGGTGGAGTTAGGGTTAAGTTGGCACTTATGATATGTTCTTTATAACCATACTTTATTTGAAAATCATCGTTTCATTGAAGAGGAGCTTACTATGACGAAATGCATGAGTCAATTGCTGGCTAAATAGCAGTCCATCTAGTGTCTGAATCTCAAACATGTCATATTATATCTTAAAAACCTCGACAATAGATTCATGTAGGGATTTTGCTCATTCAAAGAATTACAGGATGCCTTAAAGGGGCTTCAGAAAACAATTGGATTTTACTAACAATATCTTGTTACTTAAGCTTACGCCCAACAGGTGATGGGGATTAAAAACATTAATCATTATTTTAAGTTTTTTTTTTACTGATTTAATTAAAGCACTAAACACCTTAACTAATACACAAACAAAAACGTAAAGAGGTTTTAGAGCTGTGTTGATTGTTTGTTGTTGTAATCAACATGTATAAGAGCGAGGAGCAGAGGGGTTGAATCAAAGTCTTTGTTTAGGATCAATCAAGAGCGGGGGTGGGTCATAAAATACTTCCCCGAAAATTGATTAATATTGTTCCCAAATATGATTAGACAATCAATTAATAGTTCAAAGTGAAATCACTAAAGTTTTAATGGGAACTGTTGAATATTGCGAGGTAAGGGAGAAAGTTTGGACAAATTACTCGGCGGTAGGTGACAACTTGTTGGCCTCTCTCTCCCTCTATATCCCTCTTTCCCCCTTTAACTCTCCGTTTCAAGTGTTTTGCATTTAAATAAATCGTGATGTTTTTTATCTGTAAAAAAACTGGATAACTTTTAAACCAGTAATATATATAAAATCCAATGTATGTTTGTATGTTTGTATATTTGTATGTTTGTCCTTTATGGACTCCGAAACCGCTCGACAGATTGTAATGAAACTTTCAGGCATTATTAAGCATTATTCAAGGATGGTTTGTGTGAAGTTTGGTGCAGATCCGTCAAAAGGGCTCCGCCCCAGTGGCTCTGGAGTTTCCCATGTTAACCTTATGAGTACTCATGTTTAAATGGAATTAAAGAATCTTAACAACTCGTTCAACTAAACTATCTGATTCTGTGATGTTCAATAGCATTAAAAAGTTAATAGGTTTACCAACAGGGTGCAGCACTATATTTTTTAAATTTATGAGAACAGCTAACTTGCAACCAAAAGGTGAGTGAGCGTAGCGAACGAACTTCAACCTGGAGGCGAGTTAGCGTAGCGAACGAGCTAACCTGAAGGCAAGTGAGCGCAGCGAACGAGCTACAACCTAAAGGTGAGTGAGCGTAGCGAACGAACTTCAACAGCTAATTAGCAACCAAAAGGTGAGTGAGCGTAGCGAACGAACCTTAACCAGGACATGATTGAGCCATGCGAACGAACTCATCTTGAAAATGAACGAGCATTTGACATAAATCCACACTAGGACAGGACGACGTCTGTCGGGCCAGCTAGTGTCTTATACTTATCAGCTAGCTATCTTATTGTGCAACCTAAATAATCGACAATTGAATACATATATGTTCTAAAAGACTTAAAAGATGAAATCAATATACAAAAATAAAAGAAATAGTTCAAAATGATATACCATACTTATTATCAATCAGCTATATTAACCTATAAGGATTAGCTTTTAAAAATGAGTTTGCAAAAGTAACCGAACGTCAAGTATTTATTCTCAATCCTATTAATAAATTAATTCCCACTATGATATATTGTTTAAAGTTCATGGTCCCGTTGATTGTGACAGTATCAAGAATAAACACACATTAATATAATAGTGCTTTGATGACTGAATATTTTGTAATCTAGATTTTATTTCAAGGCGAATACAGGCCGAATACTTTTGAATTATTACTCTGCAAACTTAGTTAAAACGTAAAACTCCAATACCGAAAATGCTTTCAAGCACTAAAGCATACATTTTGTAATAAACAGCACAAAGAGTCACTCATTAGTGATAAAAAATTGAAAAAAATCGTTCTAATTAAGCAGCTTTACGTTGTAGTCACTAGAATATTCTGAAGGCTTGTCTATTAACTCGAAGAAGGGGAAGAATGTCTGGCACAAATCCTTGGGCAGTTTGGTGTGTCCTCTTCTTGAACACCTCCTCATGGGCAATTCAAAGTACTTGACGTAACAGTCCCCTGTCACAGTTAGGTAGACCACTTTCAGGTGGAACCGTTTCAAAACAAAAGCTTTGAAGGAAGCAAGAGCTACGGATTCTTCAGTGGTAGTTATTCTGAGACAGTCGATGTCAAAATCGTCGTACCTCAACTTCATGAGATTGTAGCGTTCTCCCTTGCACTCTCTCTTCTTAGGATGATCCCACTGGGCCTGTAGGAAGTTTGGAGATGAAACATCGGACTCTCTGTGTGCTATAGTTAACTAAATACAGCTTTAAGAGTAACTACGAAAACTGTATTCGTCGCATTTGAATCTTACTGGAAAAGTTGAAAAGTAAAACTTCAAGTATGTTTTTCACGGTATATGAAACAACTTTCGTATTTTGCAATAATATGTACATAAAACCCCTCGTCACAGCAAACCTACAAACAAAGCGAATTTCTATTTGCCTGATTATATTTTAACTTAGTATAAATCCTTAAATTGTCAGGTTTATTCCTTATTTAAATAACGGAAATGGTCCCATGAGTACTAAGGCTCGTAGTGAAATGTTATTAGTATGCATAATGCGTCATATTTAGTATTAAATAAAAAAATCTCAAACACCAACGTACAACCGTTTACTTACTTTCTATAAGGATTTCAATTTTACATTCAACGTGTTTTGGAAGTAATTTTTAGGCATACAACACGCTTCAGATAATAAATTGTTAGTTTTTAAGCTCTAAACAATTTTGAAAAATCAGAAAACCCAATTTTTACGCCAGAAACCCCTGATAAAATCCTTTTCTCATAGTTTGATCATGCTGGTTCGTGAAATCGTTCGAATAACCGTTGGTTAGTAAAATGTAAAATTAGTCAAATGTAGGTTAGTTTGTACAAAATTTAATCAAAATCGGATAACTTTTACTCGAGTTATCGTGCTGACGGACATATACAGTGGATAAAAATAAATACATATTTATTCATTCAAATGGAAGGTGTGTGTTTGGGGAATCAAAGAAATTTGAAGAATTTGGGGAAAAGGTTAATCGGTCCCGGGTCTAGGTCTTACGATGAGACCTACAGTAATAGTGTATTCCCTATCGAGGAAATTTTCTAAATTCAAATCGTAGATACAACCATTGATACAATTGTGTCAGTGTTATGTTTTAGCATTGTTTACCTGCGTTGTAGGTGGTAGGTCGTCATCATAATCTTTACAGTATATCAGCAGCTCCATGGAGAATCTATCCAGTTTGCGTTCTTTGACCAGTTTACCCTTAGTGTCATGGGATCGAACGTCAGTTTCCTTGACCACCAGCCCTACTGACCAGTCGTTCAAGTCGGGCGGATCGAAGCTTATTACTGTAACAACAGTTACAAATAGTTTTAGGTTTGTATCCAGAGTGTAAGCGAAGAGTTTAGTTTGTTTCAATGAACCCATACATTTTCTGAACACTGTTGGTGTTGTTTGTAACCTATTAAGGTGTATGGTGTCACACAGGTGCTTTGTCGGAATACTGCAATCTGCATTTCACTTATTTTGTCATAAACATTGCAACAAATATTTAACTTTTCAGTAAAATCATTCAAATGTTTGGCGGATCTGCTATTTGCACTATTTATTAAATATGAACATGTTGGTAGTGAGAACCAACTTCTGTTTGATAGTGAATTCAATAATTTAGAAGATAAATAGTCAGCAAGCTATTCTAAAAATATAACTAAAATATTCCCCTTAATTTGCTTTAGATTTTAGATATCTTGATCAGAAACGTTTTTTACATAATATATACAATTTCTAATATAAACTTCTTGTTCTATCTTTAATAACATTGCTTGATAAAGATTTTTGTGAGTTTAAAACAAAATGCAAAATTAAATGCTTATGTTTTTCTGGTGATATTATCTATATTTGCATTTTGTTAATATCAAATTAATGATAACAAGATTGCCTTCTTGGGCTGTTTTGAGGATATCATGAAAATATTTTTTTACTTTTGCATTTTTCATGACATTTAATTTAATGAACTAACAACAACAAAACAAAATTTGTTTTTATATAGTTTAAAATGCCAACACAAATGTGTGCCTCACTAGCATAATAAATACTCTACGATGTATGTCTTAGTTTAGATTATGGCCTATGGTTGAAAGGAAGGGGCGTGATTCGGTTGTTTGTGTTGGATAAAATAAATTTAGTTATCTTACATCTATAACTCACTCGCCCCACGTCGAGCGTCTCCTGGTGAAATGTGTAGCAACTGGGAAAAAAACATAATGTAAGCAGGACAAAATGGATGACGATTAGGTGAGTCGGTTGCATGGTAGTAATGAATGTAGCAAATGACTTGGGTTCACGCCAGCCCACAATTAATTCAATATTTTTCTGTTTATAAACATCCATTTTTTTCTGATACTTTCTACTTACAGCCGTTTGAGGCCCACTTGGACGAGCAAGTTAAAGAATAAAAGAAACGCTCATATCAATCATATTGGAGATATTTTTCAAAGATTACTTTTGCTTAAGACTTATTATTACCAGGTAAATAGGCTCATTATTAGGTAAATACAACATACTATTGTACAATAAAATATTTTTCCTTTTAAATTTTACACCTACACCTTAAACAGTGATTTACTACCTGAACCAGGTTACAATTATTATAAAAAAGTAGCCTATTTATAGTCCATTTTCGTAAATCGGGTTATCTCTAGTTTACAATCAGACTGTGGCCATTCAACTGACTGAAAAGCGGTTAAATTTAAATTCACATTTAAACCGTTATGGAGAAAGGTGGTCAGCGTCGAGCTCTAGGGAGTCGAAACCCTAATGGAAATTGACTTTTTTTAGTTACCATTCATCACTCCACTTGATCATAAGCTTTAAAATAACTTCCAATTGTAAACATCGGGTTAGTATGAAGGATGAAAAAGGATGTTACAGCAAAAACCCTTATTGTATTAAGTATATATAGATAGGTACTCACTGAAACATAGTAAGTACCTGCCGACACAGCTATCGAAAAGAACACAACTGTGATTTTCAACTGCCAAACAGCTTTGAAATATAATGGTGGAATGATTTAAAATAACTAGTTAATGTTAAATATTTGTATTCTACATACTGTGACGATGAGAGCGTACAATCCGAGCATGGTGATCGGTGAGCAGGTGTAGTTACAACTGGCAACAGCTGGTAATTACACAATACTACATGGTATACAACTACCTACATATTCTGTACAATACTGGAAACTAAACCTCTCAGAGAACACACGTTTCTTTGTGAAGTAATGTGGGAAAAGTAATAACATAAAGTTGTGAGTTTGGTATTTTTAGATAATGAGTCATCAATATTTTTGGATGATGGAAAAATAAATGGGAAAAGTAAAGGACAGTAGTTTGGTGAAGGAATAGTAAAAAGAAATACTAATCTCGATTGTTTTGATACTTTCACTAAAATATTTTACACTTAGTTTTTTATGTACTATGACTTGAAATAGAAAATGAAAACTAACTTTATCATTGCCATTGGGTATTGCTAGTTGTTTAAAACATTTATTCTTTAATAATATCCTTTAAATCCTTTAATACATATAATCAGTTTAGTAACTAGGTAAAGGTAGGGACTAGCAGGACATGGCTCGTCTAGTAGTAAGCTTGCAGTTAGATAATATAGGCGCACACGTTCAATTCCCGCCAATTGCCAGTAAATGACATTTAGTTATGTTATAAATTAAAATACCCCTATTCTGTGTCTTGGAGCTTGAATCAAGCTTAAGGTCCACCTATTTAGAATAGGTATAGGTCTCTGAGACAAATAAAACTTTGTATGTAACAACTAAATCCACTAAATGCAATACTTGTATATTTTAAACAGTGATTAGTGGTGCTGCGGAGTCTTTACGTGTTGCAAACTAGAGATATTGATATATAATATATTAGGCGGGATATTGAGCCCTAGTTGGTTGGTATTACCGTTGACTATTACTGAAGTTTTAATGGAATCTGTGACATAACCTCAAGCCAGAGTTTCAAACTTAAAGGTGGGAATTTGCATCCCAAAAGTCACGTTGAATAGGTGGGATTGTTAGACTAACTAATACAAATGCAAGATTCGATTTTATTATCTTCTGGTAATCGTTTGGAATAAATCTTGTGAATGCAACCGCTATGGAGCATAAACATAAACAAATGACGTCACTAGCCCGAAAGTAAACATGGTTTTTATTAATATTTAAATGGGACTGTCAAAAAACGTAATTTGTGTACGTTTATGACCCATATAGTTTTTTTCTAATATTCGTGGTAAATTCTTAAAAGCAGTTGCAGTCTTATTGTCTAAAATTACTTGATCATGATGCCATGCCGTAATCGGAATATGAAAAATTAACGGGTTTTAATTATCGGAAAGTAAATAAAAGAAACGTCTTATAACACTTAAAACATATATTTACGCTTATACTGTTACTCACAAGACGGTAAATATACAAAAACGATGGTAAGTGGTGATCGATTTCGATTGGACACTCCAATCATCATCAGACCCAATAGGCGAATGACGATAGAACTTTCATTAGCGGTTTTTTTAAGAGGTAGGTTATACCGATCCTTACGAAATGTTGGAATAAGTTTCCAAAAACCTTTCAGTAATCGATGGTCATTGTTATTTGATAGAATGTTTTATAAATTGACTAGAAAATTAAACGGACCATATCTATTTGCTTCACAATGCTCATTACAGCCATGCAATCTAAAAATGTACATTTTCGACAAGAATGTAAGAAATATGAATAACTGAGGAGATTATACCTATTTTTCTGCTCGATGCACTCCCCACTTATATTTACGATGCATATAACGTGTTTGTTATAAAGACATTGGAAGCGATCTGGTGGAAAATTGGAACTGTTCTCCGTCGGAGCTTTGCCATAACGGTAGTCTTTAGTGTCATAGCTCGTGTAGTCTTGCGCTGCTTGGTCTAATATGTGATAAGGATAGAATATATTACAAACATAACTGATGACATGTTATGAGGCTAATGACATATTGGTAAAATACGTGGATCAGAGGTTCGGAACAATAAGCATTGAAACCCCTAGCTTTTGCATGTAAAAACCTATTTCTTTTACCAAAACTTCATTTAATCATGAAAAATTATTTTAACACTTGCTTTCCTTGCTGCCTGATCCAGAAATAGCATATTTTATTAGAACGTTGTTCATGACTAGGGTTACTCTGGAAAATCGTTGCCAGCTATATTACTTGTTTTATAATAAATATTTTCCATTATTAATTAAATTTCATATATGCTACTATATATATAGTATAGTATATATATAGTATAGTGGGTATATCCCATACCCATTTTCGATCTTTTTGGACATTCTTTTTGTAATATAGATATTGTGTAACCTAACGATTTGGAAACAATTCTTTAGTGCACAAAGAACATAAATCGAGTAATTTGTATGAAATCTAATAAATGTTTAATATATAAAAAGTTTTCTTTTATTCATTGTTAGAATTATTTATTTCTATAAACAACTTCTGCAATTACATAAACCCTATTGAAATTTTAATTATGAATTGCTAGAAAACAACTAAGAACTATACATAGTAAGCATATTTATAATTATTATAATTTATAGTGTAAACATAATATTTTCAAAATTATCTATTTATGTTATATTGACCAACTATACTGTATGTAATTTTGATACAGTTAATAGATCATAAAATATTACTTCCAGTATTTGAAACAGCTTGAAGGTACATATTACGAGATTAATTAATAGCCATCAAATCCGGTAGAGATGAGAATTGATTTATCACAGCGCTTGACAGCGTCATCTAAGAAGGCATACTTACACCGACTACACCCAGACTTTCCCTCCAGCTTGACTTTGGCTTCTTTGATGTGAAATAAGGAGGTTTGCACCCTAAAAAGACACATGAACTATAGGAGGAAAAAATCTTACAAAATTGCAACTGAAGAAACCCATATTCTAGTATTTTGTTTTTAAGAGTTTCTTTAACATAGTTTTTTTAATTACTTTATATTTCACATTTTGTTATAGAATATTTTTTGTAATGCATGCTAGGAATAGCCTTGACGTTGTGTTCACTATTGGTTAGCCAGATTGTCAACGTAATCTTTTTTATAAATATGACTTTGAAACAAATAACGGTAAAATAATAAGTGTAAAATCAAGAAATATAATTATTATGATTTCATGTAAATTTTTGAAAAAGTACAATAAAGTTTAGTATTTAGTTCGAAAAGTAGAGGTAATTTGTTTTGAAGTATTATAGTACGAGTTAAGAAGTCACATTTAATTTTGTTCCAAATTGCCAGGATATTAATGTGGAGCTTTAATTTAATGATTTTCGTTACCAGTCAGTAGCAAAGTAAAACACAGAAATTCCATAGACCACAAAAAATCTCCTTATCTCGGGAATGCATTTTTTTATTTTCTAAGCAATAAACTTGGTAAATAAAACCGAATTACAGCATTAAAAATTATTATCATTCGGTTACTCTTATGAAAATTGACTGATATATGAACTAACTCATCGGGTGTAGACTAATTAGTTAGTCTGCTAAGAGATATCTATCCTTCTCTCATTGTGATTCTAGAGAAGAATGCATTTTTAATTATTTACTTGAAATCGGGTAAATGACACTCGTAGTTTTTTTGCAGACTTACTAGTCTGAAATTTACAGCGAATAAATTTAACTTTATTCTAATGCATTCATGTTGTTTTGTTAAAAACTTTGTCATGCTTTTGCTGTTATATTTTGTTATGAAGTCAGGGATTGATGCGATTTGTGTAGCTTGTCAATAATGATCTATATATCTCTGAAGTTGTATGCATTTTATATTTGATTAATCGAACAAACTCTGCCATCCAGTTTTGCAATCATCAAAGTTTGATCAGTAAACGATAGACTTGTTGAGTTGACGAAATTAGATTCGTGCCATTCCAACATCGATACATCTGATTTGTTGTTACCTGTATCGAATTACCAAACGTGATAATCTGACTTTTGATATTGTTAACAACAATTTACTCAGTAACTTAATATCAAAGATATCAGCACCATAGAAGAATAATCAATGACACAGGAATGGTTTTACATAGGAATTATACACGCGTTGACCACCAATTTAAATATAACTATACAATTGTTATTGTATAAATATTTTAATATATATTCTGAAAAAATGCGATTAGATGGAGTTCCTTTCAAAGGACTTAACAAAGAGTATGAATGCTTAGGCAACAGTAGCATTATTTAAGTATTTAAATTGTAAGCTGCGTATTAAAGACTGTTAAAGATTATCATTAAGGATAAACTTATATGATGTTTGAGTGATGTTCCAAAAAAACCCACTGAACAAAATGTATGAAGATGAAACTCCATCAGTTACTGTAAAGAGGAAATATTGATATGAAATTAAAGAAACCACAACAATTTAATAAATTAATAATACATGTTGAGTTTGTTACAAATGGTCTTTTATTTATTGACTGCTTTGTTGTAATACCTAGTCTCTGCGATAATTAAATACTTAAATATACTTAACGTTCATGGTGGTGCAGTACTTTCACATGATGTATGCTTTTGCCAAAACCCTACCGTTTTCCAATTTATCCCATCAAATATCAATATTAAGTTGCGTATTAAAGAAGTTTATAAATATAGTTGAAGTTAAACGTTTTTTGATAGTTTACTGCAGGTCCAAAGAAATACCACTAGACAAAATAATTCAAACAAAGCAAGCCTTAATCTTGAAGAGCAACATTGTACAAGGTATTGTAATTTTAATAACTAACTAATTAGACTTCGGCTTTGTTAGTAATTAATTACCTCTGAGCTCTTTGATCAAACTTCCCTCCACTAACATGTTCGACTCACGTAGTATTACTACCTCAAGAGTTGGTTAATGATTGTTCCCCAATAGTACAAGTACGCCCTTATATGCTGCATATGCTGTTGCATATGCATAGAGCGCGCGTTTAGCATCTAGTGCACTTGTCATAGCTTGCGTGCTATTCCGCCCTAATTGCTTCGGTGTTCCCTTATTAATGATGTAGTTGTTTTAGTGACAAAAGATTTAATTATTTGATTTACAACTACTGTTTGGACTCGTATAACTGTAGGCTATGCTATGCTGAAATAAAGCAATACAGATTGTAATAATACATTCGAAAAAGAG